CTCATCCAATTTATTCCTCGACCCAGGCTGGAGGTAGGGTCGAACAACATTGGTGTTCCCAATGTTGTTCGATCGAACAACATTGGGAACTCCTTCACGACAGAATTCCGGCTCAAATCATGATCCCGTAGGATCACGTGCCGGAAACCTCCGGAATACTGGAATCCACCTCACATGGGTCGGGGAAATTTCTCCACTTACTGAGAGTCAATAGCTCGCGTCATGTTTGTTCAAGCAGTGGCTCCGGTCTACCGCTTCCTCTCTCGCTTCGGTCCTTCTAGGATCGTTTGAGCAGCTCCACGTTCGCTGTGACAGTGTGGACTGAGGCTTCAGAATGGCCAACGTCAATTTCCTTCCGCACGATCTCAAGCAGCGTCAACAGCAACCACAACGTGGAGGAAGTGGCTTCCGGGCGAAGGGGAACCAGCACGGGCTCGACCAGTGCCATTCTGAAGGCCTTTCTGACGCGCTTGCCTGTCACCTGAATTCCATTCAAGGTTCGAGGGTGGCAGAGGAGCCGCTGGCAGGCGTAAGACGGACAGGAGGACAGGCGACCCATCGCAGCAGTCACTTCAACCCTTAGAAGCACTCAGTCGGCGGACTCGGAGCTCTCCGAGGGAGAGTGGGGATCCAGCAAAGAGGTCGTGTCTGGGAAGCTATTCCTCAAAGACTGACTCTCTTCCGGACCCAGGTCAGGCAGGGTTCTGTTCGCAGGATGAAATCGGGGAAAAAAATCCAAGAGCGAGATAGGGATGGTCGCTCAGAATACTGCGAGTCAGCTTAGTGAATCCTCCGAGAGACTGAACGGCACTCGTGAATTTCCCTCCATTCGATCCGACTCGCTCCGCTCTCGAAACGTGAAGCGACAGGGGGAGGGGGTATCCCTAGGCTGGCTGATTCCTCCTGATGAGTTATACGCTGGTTTCCGCTCGTGAATCCTCTCGGAAGAAAATCGCCGAAGTAACAGCACGCAACACGAGTCAGACTCAATGGGTGCTCTGAGCAAATGCGATCCTCTGCTCGTCCTCCTCTTTAGGCGCTTCTTTCCTCCTCTGAAGTCGATCGCTTTAATCATGAGAAATAAAACCGCTTCGCTCAGCGACTGGCTTGAGGAACTCGATGCTATAGTGAGCGCGGCTCGATACCGACGGCGCGGAGCCGGGAATTTTTGAACACTCTCACAAAAGAAAGTTCCCCTCTTACTCGTGGAGTGAACTCTATCTAATTCAAACAGATCGAGCTTAGGCTACGTCTCCGTCTACGTATGTATGTTCCGTTCCTCTGACGGCCGTCTTGTCAATCACTTCGGAGTCGGTTCGGAATTCGGGAGCTCCGGAAATGATACGTACGGCTCAAGGAGGATTGTCGCGACTCACCAACGCGTCCGGACATACCACAAGTCTCTGCAATTGAGACCTGGAAGCGACTTCCCCTGATCTGAAAATCGAGAGCCCGGTCTCATACATAGCTGATTTGTCATTTCCCCCCGCACCGTGATCGCCGACGCTCTGGGAAGGAGAGGAATTCCAATGGAAAAATAATTCAGGGAGAGCCCAGCGACTTCAAGCGCTGTAATGCGGAACGAATCGGGGAACACAGTTCAGGAGCGGATATCGATTCAGCTTGGGGTAGCGCCAAATATCAGTGCATCAAATCGTCATTTGGCGGTGATTCATGCCTCGGCAAGCTCCCCGATACCAATCGGTAGCCACTCACTCAGCAAGATGGGAATTTCGGATGTCAGCTCGGCTTTCGACACGGCTGCTCATAAGGATGCCTCAGAACAGCTCCCTATCATCGGCTCCGTGACCAATGGATGCTTCGGGTGGTTCCAATATTCGCACGCATCCGGAGACTTCCGCGGATGTCATCGGATATTTCGCTCGTCAATATCTTGACTTTGATCTCGGAGAACAAATTCCCGAATTCTTGTCTTTTCTTCAGAACCCCTGATCCCTGCATGCCAAACATCACGTTCGTGTCAGGGGCCTGAGTTATGGAGCCAGGACCTCGACGCTAATTTGGCGAACTTTCCAGAGCAGCGTTTTAATTGCCGGCAGCGGGCGATCTGCGTCTCATCAGAACGAAGAATATGTATATGCATATCTGTTCGTAGGTCTTTCGAGGGCCGAACACGACCAACTGTGTCGGATTACGGAGGACGACAGTAAGGGAGGATCTTCAATTAGGTGCTGCATTATTAAATACGGCTCCCGGGTTGACTTTTTGCTCCAGGAGAATATTTGATCCTTAATGGCGCTGGCTGCTAATCACTTCTAAGTGCCACCGCTGCCATGGCCTTTTTTCCTGACGCTGCCGACGTTTAGATAATAAGTGTGACTTGCAGTAGTTGATTATTTATCCGATCATCATTCAGCGAATGGGGGACGTTTAGGATGTCTCGAACGATTGGGACGTTCGCTCGCAGATGAAGATCTTGGATCCACTTCTCGGTGCGTCCGGAGACTCCGAATTTTCGATGGAAGTCGATTCCAGCAAGGGAAACGTGAGGCGATGGATGGAATCGGAAGCGAGGGATGAAGTTCTTCGTGCTTCGTCTCGCGTTTGGTCCCCGACAACTGGAGTTCAGTATCAAGTCGCCGCCATTCATGGATGCGTCGGCGGCTGGGACGACAAAAGGAAAGGGCGACTCCACTGAGTGAAGGAGGTTGACAGCAAACTAATTACCGTTTCCTCACTCCCTGTTCGTCTCCCGTTTCCCGTCCTCCAGCCGTACCGCTTTCGCCTTGCAGACGAGGGTGACTGCTTACACACAAGGGACATTTTTCATAAATCACGCTTCGATCGTCCTCTGCCATATTTCCTCGTGACGAGCTCTCTACCGCTCCTGCCGCGATGACTTGCTCAACGTGTGAGCGCGCTCGTTCCTCTTCCAACCCCTTCCAACCCCTTCCATGCTCTGTTCCCATCGTTCGAACCCGACCTCATGACTCTCCCTGTAGGCCGACGCGACGGTCTTCGAGTCAGCGTTTCTTGACGCTCGCTTCATTCATCTTTGAATTTAATAATTTTCGCGTTGTCGAGAAATGAAAATTGATTACTCGGCAGGGCCAACGCTAGTCTATAGCTTCGTTGGCCGCTTGTCTGCGATGCGAGCTGCCGGTAGACGACACCCTGACGACTAAGATTTTCCCGTCAAGGAGGCATCAAGGCAGATATCGAAGGCGAGAAGATTTTCATCCATCAGAAACATAGACAAATACGGGTCGTCGTCCTTCGGCTCAATCAGCCCGAGAATCGCTATACCACGTGAGGGGTCATCTGTCTCAAGACACGAAGGTTCCTCATAAAATGATAAACTTTATTTACGTAGAACCCGCTTCCAACATCCGCTAAATTTGACGGTTTCTATCCCACTCCGGGTTTTCTTTCTCTGTGCTGAATCTGACAGACTCGTGGACTCGTGGGAGTATTCCTCAGATGCGTAAATTTCTCATCGCCGTTCTTATGATACATATGCTACATAGACCTAGTCACAGGGATACAATGTACATGCGACTTATCACAGCAGGTTGGTTCAAGACCTCAGCCAGTTCTCTACCAGGTGTTTGCTGACCTCCGGAGGTCTCGCACCGCGTCCTCTACCGACATAATTTCGCGAAACTCCTGGTCATCCAATCCAGGCATTCACTAATTGGGGGAATTGCGTAGCGGGAACTCAGTCGGAGAAACATGCGCGATTCGGGACCATCAGAGGTTTTATTCGAGAAAGGGACGAAATCCGTCGCTACGGGCCCCAAACCTCCGATGGCGAATCGAGAGTGATCGAAATTTTGAATGAATTCTTGATTCGATAAAAAAAGTATTGGTCGCTCTGATTTCGATTCTTAGAAGAGCAGCGGTTGGACTTTAATGAAATATCTGAGATATCGAAGAAAGAGAACGCTAGGAGACGACTCTCTCGGAGGGCAGCTTCGCGAAGAAAAGAAAACGGACGGAGGCGGCAATGTGAGCGAGGTTCGGAGCGGGATTTCGCTCCTCAGGAGGTTATTGGCCTTCGGAGCTCCGTCCGTGGGTTCCTCCCGGCCCCAGTCTTGATTGATTTTCACTGCTTCCATGCTTCTAATTGTAGCTTTCTTCTGCTCCTCCGTTCACGATTTTTTCTTTGCTTCGCTCATTTCCGGTCTCTCTCCCATCCCTCGAAACTTCACATTTTGCTTCTTCGCTAATTAAAGTGGCTGAATCAGTCGTCTCTGAAGCTCTTGCGCGAGTCATTGGTATTTCGGTCAAGTGCGCTTGGGGTATCGGCTCCTGATTCCCCGTTTCTCTCGAGTCGTTCCCGCATGGTCCGGAGTGTGGCGGATCCTCAACGCTGGAGGTAGGTGCTTACAACGCCTCTCCCTCGCGCGCCATTTCTGGGGATAATTTCTCCGCAAAGTCTACAATTTGGGAGCCACACCAATAATTTTGTAGCTGAGGCCTCTCGAAGACACAACTTCGGGAGCAGGCCGATTCGACGGCGGGCCGATTCCACGATCTTGGATTTTGAGATCGTCGAGAAACGAAAATTGTTAGCGTAATACGACTTTACAGGGCCTTCCGACACCGTCCCCGCAATTCTCCGAAAGAAATCTCATTCTCAGTGCCAGTCTTTCGGCACCTACTCGAAACAGTACTTCTAGGGATGAATTGTACACCAGGGCTCAAGGTTCGAGTCTCTCCGAACCGTCTATGGGATGAAACTTTGTTCTTCGTCTGTGTCCGTCTGAGGTTGAGAACTCGCAACAAGTTCTGACGAAAATACTTTGTTCTCTGTCAGTTGCAGGGGGACTACACCGAGCGGAAGGAAAAGTACTTCTCTCTCGCGCTCCGAGAAATCTCTACACAAGGTGCTCGTTATTTACAGTTCCTGGACGGCTGGGTGGCGCTGTTTTCGATGACTCTTGAAATTTATATCTTTGGTGAACCTCCTCGAAAACGGGATTATTCCGCTCGCCAACTCAGAGATATCGAGTTTTCAGCCCGTCCGCGAATTTCTCTCAGCTCATTTCGAAAGCAGCATCGATCGTCGTGCTGTGTTGTCGGAACGACTTCAGAATTCTCTTGCGTAGTTTCTCCATGTTCTCCACTACCAGGGTATTGTTAGGATCCAGCGAGTACGCGATGGTGTAGTGGTGGAACGCGGACGAGAAGTCACCCTATAAATAATTGACTCTCTCAGAAGAAGCGCCCCGAATCATAGTGAGAATCTGACTGAGCCGCCGAAGATTTTATGTCCAGTATATGGAGCATTCATTTACCTGTAGGTGGCGGATCACTCCCAAATTGATATGAGCGTGCGAAAGGTCCGGCTGCAGCTTGATTGCTTCAACATAGCACTGGAATTATTTAGGAGAGAGAATTATTCGAGCAATCGGGTACCAGTTGGGGCTCCGCAAACCACAGGGAGCCTCTGTCCTAAGCCGATTCCAGAGGAGGTGTGCACTCCATCGGGAGCCTTCCCTCCTTCCTCGGTCTTTTTTTTCCTCGAAAACGCGGTGCGCTCAATACGGAACGGGAAAAGGGAGCAAGGACACCAACCTCTGCCGAGCGATTCAGGTTGCTCATGTCCTTGAGAATGTCTCCGTAGTCGGCATGCAGAGGAGCGCATTCAGCAGCTCCTTCAGGACACAAACGGATGGCCTTCTGAATCCACTCCGAAGCCTCCATGGTTCGGTTGGTGAAGCTGTAGAGCAACGCCAGCTGCCGGAGACCGTCGCGGAATCCCGCGTTCCGATTCAGGGTTTCCTGGAGGATTTCCTCCGCGGCGTCCATATGGCCCAACCGCATCAGCATTTGAGACTGAAAGAATTTCTCGTTTACTCAGAGTCTACGATCGACCAGCTCGGCCCAGACGGCGGGAAATATCGGACCCCCGAACGCGGGAAGTCGTCGCCGAAGCTTGAGTATCGGAACTCCGACGCTGAGGCTCTACCCAAGAAGCAACAGATCAGCAGAGCGGGTGGATCGGGAGGCCGATGAGTTTAGAAGCTGCACGAAGGGATCAACACCTTCCTAAGGATTAGAATTCATGACAGGCAATCAACGTAATCTCTCGGGTCAGTGTTCGCTTCCGTGCGTCCCGCCACTCCCTTTCTCTGCTCGTTCAATCACTGCCGAACGACAACAGCAACGACAATGAGGGGACGCCTCCGTAATTACCAAAGAGCTGAATGCGTGAATGAATAGGCAACACTCGTCATGCATAAACTTACGTAATGGAGTCGGCCGGGCAGATGTCCCGGATGGATGCTGAGGATCTCTTCGAATATTGTCTGAGCCTCTTGGAATCTTTCGCTTTTGACGTAGAGAACCGCCAGCTGATCCATCACTTCCGGGTCGGATTCCAGCGCGAGCGCCCTGGAAAGACGGGGACGATCGCGTTGTTTATCCGATCGCCATGGAGAATTCAGATATCAGAAGCCTCGGATCCGAGAAAGCATCGCGGGACGAAAATTATCGCCGACCTTTTGTACAACTTCTCCGCTTCGTGGTCTGCACGAAGGAATTTCATCGTTTCGGCTGCGTTCACCACCGCCACGGTGTTGTCCGGCTCGAGGGCAATCGCTTGCTTGTACTGTTCGGAGGCTTCGAGTAGGCGACCTGTGAGAGAGTGTCCAAGTTGAGAATGGCTGACAATGAGAATTAATTCGTTCTCCAATCGGCACCGAGCAAACTTATCAGACCGCTAAGAGCTTCGGCGGATCTGCACTACAGGCGAGTAGAGACCCAAGTAGAGACTCTGGCCCAACTCGGATGGACCTCGATGATGACATCGTTGCGTCCGGATCATTGCACTCGGTGTTCGCTCGTGGTTTGAGTTTGCCGAACAAGGCCCATTCCGGATAAAGAGCTGCGTGTGATGCTGTCATCACGAGTTACCGGATAAGAGGAGTAGATTCGGCGATTGCCGAGAAACATACGGTGAGACAAACACACAATCAACCAGTGCGTTCCGAGAGCCTATCTCTGTTATCGCACTCATTGAGGTATCGGTTATCGACGGAGCGTCGGCGGCTACACAAAGGCCCATGCATCCTGGACTGCCAGTCCATTCGCTCTACCCCGCCCGTATGCTTCGACGTTCGTTCCCGCCCTCGACGCCACAAACGCCTGTCTGCACAGTCGTATCTTTGCGTCTCCCGCTTCCGGACGTGCTTCCGCGCGGAACCGCTTTCAGCTCATGGTGCCGTTGTGGTCGAACCAGACCTCCGGGAGCCGCGGGGGAGGAGGGGTTGGGGACCCGCAGGCGCCGGAATCGGTTCCGCAGAAGGCCACAGCTGTAGCTTGAGCCGCAGCTGTGGAAACAGATGAGATGACAGGATATTCAACTGCGCCGCGATACAAAGACCTAGCAAGAGTCGATCGTACCCATAGCAGCGAAGGAATCGAATGCGGGGGAGGGGGAGAATCACGTGTGCGAAAGTCAGGGAAGGACTCGATCGGCCAACCGACCAACCGACCGACCAATCGACTGACCGCGGACCGGCCAGATAGGCAGGCGCATTCGTTATTCCGTCGCGTTGCAGGGAAGGATGTCATTTTGATCTGAGGCAATGGCGAACGAGCCCTAGTCCAGCTCGTTGTGTTGCTCAGTGTGAGACCTCGACTACGCAACGTCGCCGTATCGTCCGTCTCGAAAGTATTGCGAACCCCCGACGAAAGGGAACTCGCACCGCCCATCCAGAGGTCTTCGTGGAGTTGGACGCACGAAAATGACTGACGACCTATCTCGACGGGGACAACGCCGGAGAGGCTCGAGGACCCTCGACGTCGTTGTCTTGCGAGGGAGGGACAGGTTCGTGAGATGGTCGGAGATTTATTTCCGTGTTGAATTATTTGCAAAGTTTCAGGAGCCGACTTCCTCGGCCGGAGACAACTCAAGCAAAGAGAATGCTCCGTGCCTCGTCCTCAGCCCTTCATCTCGCAGGGGCTCTCCGCCACTACCGGTCGGGGTTGCAGTGCGGCGACGACCACGGTCGCCGTCCATCGCCGAGCAGATCACCTGCGACGCATCTCTCATGTCAGAGAATCACTTTCGCCTCCTCGTCCTCCTGTCTCTCCTCCCTCGCATCCAACGGATTTCGTTCTCGTTCCGGCTTTTCGTCGAGTCCGACATCCTCGGATGCTTTTTCGCGATTCTGATCCCCGTCAGAAGACCGATCATCCCGACCTCTCGGAAGTCAGATTCTACGATCCGATGGAATGCACGCTTGTGGCCGGTGTTTAGTCGAGCATTGAGTCAGTCGGTTCCGATCAGACAACTCACCTTGTGATTGCAAAAACGTTCCGTAGTTGTTCCGGATGGGCGCACTTTGACCATTTAATTGAATTGCTTTCCTGTGCAAGTTTTCCGCCAGGCGAGATTGACCCTGCAGACCCTCGAGGTCGGCCAGGGACGAGAGAGCCTCTGCCAATGATGAATCCAGAGCTAAGGATCTCTCCAGAAGAGCTCTCGCGAGCTTCAGTTGGCCTCTTTTCCTGGAATCGGGAAAAATCATTGCTGAAGCCGATCCCGATCAGATAAGCAGACCACTGCCCAGATGGATGGCTGATGGTCGAGAGCATACCTGTACAACATCGCCAAGTTGTAGTGAGCCCCGGCATGCTCGAGATTTATGTTGATCGCGAGACGAAAGTGTTTTTCGGCTTCCGACTGCGATGCCACAACGGTGCCGAGGTTATTGTGAGCTGACGCATGGTTGGGGCATAAGCTGGAATTCAAGTAGGTCATAGAATAAGATGAATGACGCAAGGATCGTAATGCAGGACGAATACTGCAATCCGAGGGAAAATGTCGCTCGTCAAGTTCCAGGGAGTCGCGAACTGCCCGAGTCGCAAGCTGTGTCCAACGCGGCTCAGACGACGGCTCTGACCGAGGAGGGTCTGCGTCTGAATGTTGCGAAGTGCATCGCATAGATTTCCTTTGGGAGCGTTCTCTCGCGCAGCTTCCCTTCGCGAGTACCAAGCGAGGCTTTCTGAACGATTGTTGTCGCTGTCGACGTTGTTCTGCCTGCCTTGCCGTCCTGGACACAGCCGGTGAGATGTGGACTCCAGGGTTCGGGGCCTGGAACCCAGTCGATCTATTTGAAAGGTTACTTACTCAACGGCTTTCTGATAATGCTCGATAGCGCTATTGCGTCGTCCGATGTCTCGCATCATGTTGGCGAAGTTGTAGTGCATTTTGCAATTGGTGGGCAGCTCACGGACTCCGGATCTGCAATGACCGCAGATTAATGCGTGAACGCTATTTCCTTCACTTGCCCGCTGGAGGCGGGAGGGGTAGCGGCCCGAGGAGACTCGGAAAAAATACTTACTCGAACAGAGCTTCGCGGGACGTCCACACGACGTTGCGACGCACCGTACGCAAGGCGGCAACCGCCGCCCAGAGGATCAGGATGAGCACCAAAAATTTCTGTCTCCGGTTCCACTCGATGCATCGACGTCCGTTGGCCGATCTCTGCATGTGGTGCAGAAGCCGGCGGAATCCTTCGACGAGCATTAAACAGAAACCCATACTCGGTATATAGAGAATTCTCTCAGCGACGACAAATCCGACCGTGACAAAGAGATTGGAAGCCGGAATGTACGGGAGACAGAGGAGAGCGACGGCAACCAAGAATAGCGGCTGGCCGTTTTCCGTCCCGCACTGGATCCCTTGAGTGAGTACGGTTTCCTGTTTAAATTGCTGCACGCTCATTTCATTCGACGTTGTTATCAGAGACGAGCCCGGAGCTTCGCTCGCAGACGTCGTTATGGATGGCGATTCCCTCTCGCAGCCGAATCCGAGATCGTAGTACGCCACGTGTCGTACGATGCGTCCCGCGCAAACCAACAAGGCAACAGTTGCGAGGTTCCGAGTGTCGAGCACGGAATGCACGACCGGCACGGAACCCATCTGCCAATCGTAGGACAGAACAGCTGGGTATAGAAGGAGTTTTATGTTGAAGGCAGTCAAGTAGCTGTACGTCAAAAACCTGGAAGGAGAATAAATTCTCCTGTCAGCCTCGAATCCGATTTTCATGTTCACGGCTTCTCCGAGTTCAGCTTTCCCTGTTCCAGGCCCAAATTAGAATCCAATGATTCGTAGATCCGATACGCATCCGATGTTCCCGCATCGGTCTCGTTACACTTCGAAGGCTTACGTAGCCCAAGAATTGAAAAGTGGACCCCTCTGGATGCTCATGTCGAGACAACCCTCAAAAGTTGCGAATATCGTATTTATTACGTCAATGGTTTTTCAGGTTATTTGCATCTCATCGAAATCGGAGTATACTTCCGCTGGCGATGAGCGCTGGGAGGCGAGGGGAAAAATTGAAAACAGCAATAATTCCAAGCGGAAATACGGAAACGAGTCCTCCGAAACAGAAACGCGCCTCAGTCAGTTGGGGGACGAATCCCTATGGGCTACTCCTTCCGCCTCGCTGCGGGATTCCCATTATGAGATGGTATGAAACGGTTGGTGTGCGTGGCTTTTCGTGAAGCGTGACGCTACGAGAATGACCTCTGTACGCTCATTCCGTACGTGGATGAGATCAATGGGGCGTCTTCCCCTTCCCTTCTGCTCTGTCTGACAGGAGCGAGGCTGTAATCGGTCCCCGAGCGAGGGTCTGTCCTCCAGCGCAGTGACCCCACAATTGTCAGATGCGGGAGCGTTATGTAGTGGCCATGATAGTCGGCAGCTAATCCGGACAATAAAAGTGGCTTTCAAGATACCTCCATTCGTCCCCCGGATAGCTCCGAATGTCGGACAGGAACCGACGACGATGAGCGAGCACCAACAGCGATAAGAAGAGAGAGCCGTTTGTGAACTGTTAGTGGACTGTCATCACAAGCAAGAGTGATTCCCTCTCGACCTTGAGCCTTTTTTCCTTTCGGCTCATAATTGGGCTCTGTCCTCGCCAAACGGAGACGGAGTCGCGATGAATCATCCGAGGACTCCTTCCCAGATTGCTGGAACATTTAGGCTTCTTTTTCGAAATTCCTCCTCTTTCACGTACCTGGTGAGCAAATGAGGGTCGTGTGCGGCTGGATTGTCGTGCTCAGAGAACTTCGGCAGGGAGCCCCCCAAGAGAAACACTCGAAAGCTGAATAGACCCGCTAACGTGACGCACGAAGTCACGAGATGATCATCGGCTGTGAACCAGTTGACGATCTGGCTGCAGCGGGTTGATACGTTGCGCTGGTTCATCGGGGAACTGAAAAAAAGTTTGATTCCAGTCGGAAATTGCTGTGGAATTCGCAATCAACAGCCCATATCATCGACCGTCTCCTCCCATGACCCATGAGACCCTAGCTCGAGACCCGACATGAGTACCCCTCCACGATCCCGGGCGGCCCCGGAATTGAGCCAATACCGCGGCTGGCTACCCTTCTGCTCCCGGTCCCTGACACCATGCAGAAAGAGCAGCCGTCCGCGGATATGTCGATAATTCCGACAAGAGAGGAGCTGCTCGAGCCGAGAAGCACCGGGGCTTGTCTGAAAGCCCACGATCAGCGAGAAGCCCTTAGCGGAGAGAGGCTAAACGGCGAAGCCAGGACCTGGACCCTTCGAGGACTCGACTCGAGAGCTCGAGACAGCTTCCGGGCGCGTTTTCACGTCGCGACTCCGACACGCGCGCGACGTAATCTTGGAATCGCTCTGACCGCGGGTCAAGCCTTCCGCCAGATGTACGAGCCTTGCGTACGACTCCTCAGATAATTCAGTATGACTGCTCGAATCCACTCGTGGCTGTGCGGATCCACTCGACCTAACGGGGTACGGGGCGGAGAGCGGAGGGAGAACTCGATTGGAGAGATTCATCAGGCATGCAAGCGTGCCGAAACGCGAAGTGCGACAAGATTTGCAGGACATTCCCGTGATATGAGAGGGAGAGAGAAGCCGGCCGGCCGACCGACCGTCTGACTGACTGACGCGGGAGAGCGCCACACGACCGGAACGTTCCGTGCACTCGATATGCAAACGCTGATTCGGCTGGAAAGCATCGCAATAGCGTGTAGTAGTGAAATAGCCGCTCTTATGTAGCAACTAGCGGCTCGGTTGGCTCGCGTGGCTACGTTAGCTCATTCAAGCGGCCTTAGGCTTTTAGAAGGAGATGTTAGCAGCATGAATAATGCAGAGCCCAAACGAAACTAAGCACTAATGGAGAGCCATCGGGCTCGAAGGAAACGACCGACCCATGATAAGATTCCACCTTCGCGGTGCTCCCACGGTCAGCCCGTCTGCTGGCTCGCCGACCGGTCGGGCGGACGAATGGGCGACCCGTTCGCTAGCCAGTCTTGCCCGTCCGCCGAGCAACGTACCGTAACGTAACGGATATGTTGCCCCTGCATAAGGGGCAACAACGACCCGATGGTCCGGCTGGGTCGACTGGGATTCTCTGTTCCGTAAGTTCGGTTTTGTCGGACAGAGACGCTCAAACTCCAGAACTCCGAACGGTCGCGTGGACCCTCCCCGTGGGCGCTACTTCCCCCTCTTCTCCCTCTCACCCCAATGTTGCGAGACATGACGACCGGGAACAAATCTTCCCTCGGAGTGTGCAATGCTTTTGGAATGGCGAGGAGGTTCCCGAGTGCAACAAGCTCCTGATTCCTCTCCGTGCCCTGATCATGATTCCGATGAGCTGTCTGCGCTGCGAGGCGCAAAAACGGTCTCAGGACTCGAGTTCCGAGCGGGAGTTCTTGTATCCTGCCGGTGCTTCTCGACTCAATGCCGGCGCTCGACTGGAGGGAGAATTTTTCTCGCTCGACACACGGCATTCCGGCATGAAACGAGGGATTTCGACATGAGACACGCCACGCCGTCTTTGAGCTGCGTTTGCAGCATTTTTAGAGAGTGTGTCTGCTCTCTTCGGTTTCAACTAGATACAAAGTTTACATTTGTCGGGAATTCTGGAAACATGTGAACAGACATGAACTGCTGGACGCGGCCCTTTGTGGAACTCCTGGATCACAAAACGATGCCTACGAATCAGTTTGCTCGTCGAGCCAGTCGGGAGAACGTGGTAATGGTGTTCAACAATCTGGTGCGACAGGACGACAGAATTTGGAAATCTTATCTCTGGCAGAAGACGGAAGTATCATCATTCGCGAGTATGTTTTGGGCACGCTCGACACGCCTTTCTCGAGAGCACACGAGCGGACCGCTACGGACGGGCTGTCTTCCGATATTCAGCCGATACCTCCGCCATCAACTCGCTATGAGCTCATCTTCGAATCCGTCGCAGTTTGTCCGTCGGACATAGCCTGGAGTCCTCGCTCAAGTTGTGGGCTCTTGTTGGACGACGACGATCTCACAACTCGGCGGGCGGCCTATTATCATATAAAAGTTGTCTGACTGAACTCCCAGGAAGACGGATTCGTAGGATCCAAAGACGTTGCGAGAGAGCCCCTCTAGACCGGAGCAAAAAGTTTTTGAAGGTGGGCGCCCGCCCGCCCGCTTCTTGGTCTGCTGCCACGTCTGAAGGATCGTGGGGTGGTACCGCGAGAAGGCTACAACGACGGCGCGGCGGGCCCATCGCAGTGTGCCTGTCTGGCTCACAAATGCAAATCAACACTTGTCGAGATCTTCTCGCCACAACAGCCGTCTGGCCCTCGGCGTTGTAGCAGCAGTCGCAACGGCGGCGGTCGGGCGGCGCCTCCTGCCGATGTTGCAGAGCTTCCGACTGAATGAAGAGCATGTTGTCAAGAAAACGAGTGCATTCCCGCGGCCCCGATTCTCATCGCGCCCAGAGACTGACTTGCGCAGTCAGTCAGACGGAGTCCGAGATGGATGAATAAATATGAATGAGCGAAACTCACCAATGGAAGGCTGAAGGTCGTTTGCAGAGGAGTCGCAGCCGGTACACGATCAGCACTCCGAACACAGTTATTCCCTGTTCCTTGCTGAGCATTGACATCACTCCGAGAGCCATCGCCAACCATAAATGCGTCGGAGCTCTGGCCCCCAAGTTGAAGAACTGGCTATCACTCGCAGTCTGTGCTCTGACGTTGTTCCTTTGGTTCCGTTCGTGCGGGAACTCGCCGATCGTGGCTTGAGCTTCATCGCATGATTTGATGAAGCATAGAATCGATGCGAGGTAGAATACCGCGCAGAGTACGTCCGCCCTGCCCACGATCGATGTAACCTGGAACATTTTTCATTCATTCATTCACTCGTCCCCTCGTCGGAATTCACCAGAAACCCTCCCCCAATTAACGATCCGATTCCAGGAGGCCGTCTCGTTCAGCTACATATATCCTCGCCGTCGAGATCTCGAATGACCGGATCCTCTTTACTAAGAGAGCCGTCCCTTCCGAACTTACAGCTTCGGTGTGGATGGGATGAACTCCGAAAATGGTGACGAGGGCCAGGCGCAGAAACAAGGAATCGTTCTCGGACCAAGCATTCGACGAGGTCGTTTGCTCAGCTTTGCCGCTGCTGTGAGCCGTTGCAGCGGTTTTCGATTTGCCGCTATGAGATGTCGTCAGACATTTCGCAAGAGTGCTCAAAAGTACACAGCAGATGAAATGTAGGACAACATTTGTCACGTGGTAGCTCCTCGAACGAAGTCCTCCGAACAGGTAGTTCAACCTGGAACGCAAAAAATATAAACTCAATCAGAGGATAGCGTGTCACGCCTTCCAAGACTTTTCGGGACTTCCGATCGAGAGGATTAGCGGACATCTCTGGATTAGGAACATTTTATTGAGAGCTCGAAAGTCGCCGAATACGGGTCCAAAGCATGCAGATGAGTTGCTCAACAGTGAACGTCGGCATCGTGGGTTCCCTGTTTATTTCGCTGACAAATCGTCGCCGTGTTCTCACATGGTTCGCTGGATGCACGCGATGAACTGTTTTGAATAAAACGCGCATCCGCCGTATACCGTGTGGACTCTGTCGTAAGTTCGGAGCCAGAGATGTTTTTGATGTTTGTCCGAAGAGATTTCCGTCAGAGGCTGGGCTCCAGTTTCGCCTGATAAATCCTTCCGTGCCAAACTCCTGAGGATGCCACCGAGTCTCGCTCCGTCAGCAAACTCTTCGATAAATGACCGTGAGCGGAGCAGAAGACTCGATGCTCTGCCGAGGACCTCCAGGAGGACCGCCTGCGAAATCTCGCGCAGACTCACTCGGACGGCTCCCTCAGGAAAGTCGAGGCGCGAGCATTTTCCGCCGAGCGAGCAGGAACGACTGAATAGACCGAGCGAGCTATGTGTATAGTCGTATGAAGATTTTATCACGTTCAGCTACCTGAGAGAACATGTGTCGGAGATGAACGGGTGTTTCGTAGTTTTTGATCTGCGGTTCAAGATAAAGCTCAGTGTCTGTCGCGGCTGGATGCTGATGACGGTGACAGTACACGCCGTGATCGTTACGGAGATCTTTATTCAAGTTGACACAGTGTGGCGGACAGCCCGAGCAACGTCGAGCTCTGCAGCTTTCCAACGGTCACGCCACTCTCAGCTCGAACTTCACAGGCGCCAATCCATGAATTTCGGAAACTTCACTACGTCACATGAGTTGTAAGTCGCCGACTCGTGAGCCAGGCTGCGATCTGATAATCGGTGGGAAACACTATGAAACTTTCAGAACGCCGAGGAGAATTGGAATTACTGGCTTCACTGAACAAGCGGATCCGAATCGGTTGGAGTCGAAAGTCTCCGCTCGGCGACGGACCCATTCAGTCTGCCGCTGGAGATTTCTCCCCATTCGAAAATGACTCTGATCGTAAAAAGAATATTTACTGCCGACCTCTGACATCCCATCAAAACAATTACCAATTCCGTCGTCCTGTCTATCGCTATTTCGTTGGTTTACCCTCGGTTCTTCCCTGGGCTCCACATACGACTTCTGCTCACAACGTACAAGCGAACGCAAGTATTACAGAAGAAACAACGACATGGTCGTTTGGTCATGCATTTCCTTTCGTAAGTCTCAAACGAATGCTACTGTAGCTCGACAAATAGCGAGAAGACAAAAAGAAATTTTCTGAACTGCATCTGCGCTCACACATCATCATCATCGTCGATGACCAACGTCATCACCGAATAAACAGCGATGCGATGAATTTTGAAAAGAGAGAGACTCGAGACACGGAGAGTATTCATGGAAGCCCAGTCGGGCAGGGTCGAGGCGACTCGGAAGACGGGGCTCACCGGTATATTACTCGGAGCCTTGCTCCGAATCTCTAGGAGCGATCCCCGAATTCGCGCAAAGATCCAATTCTCCCCAATCCGCGCATCGAAATCTTTGTCGTCCTCCATACATCGCTCGACTGGTGCTAGATCGGAACCGATGACCTCGGTCCAACCCAGACAACTGGAGTTTGATTTGTGACGAGAGCAAGCGCAGCGTGGAATTCGAAATCAAATAATAGTGATCTTTTTTCTTTCGAATCAAACGTAAGACGGAGTGCTTTATGAGCGATGCCTCGGCAGAGCTCTGAGCCGACTCGTGAATTCGCTAGTGATTCGAGTGATTCCTCTTTTATCTTTCTCGCTTTGACGCGTAGAATTATGGTTCGAACGTCCGAGAGGAGAGTGGTCAGATGGGCCTATTCGAAGAACCTGTCTCCATTTGAGAATGGAGAAGAGAAAGAAACAAAGAAGGAAAATAAAAGAATGGACTCGAGTTTTGGGTGCTGCTCGATGTATGGCATCGAATGTGCGCGTCTTCTGACAGACATTGCTCAAACTCTATCTGGGAGCCTTTCGGAACAGAAAGACGTCAAAAGGGGAGAAAAGAGTGAACGAAAAAAACGACGACGACAACACTGCAATGCTGACTGACTGAGTGACGGTGTGCTCGGCTAACAATGAACCTAACAAAAACTGTATCCGATTTCTGCCGGCCTTTTGTCAACGCGTCAAAATTTCCATCCGTTCGCCTGGTTACCCGGCTGTCTCGCTCGCTCGGATGGCGGTTAGGTCGGCAAGCCAGCCAGCCGGTCGGTCGGTCCACTCCCGCGATGTCCGCCTGTTGCTTTCAGCGCGCGCAGAAGAAGCGATGCACAATCGAATCACCGAGCTCTCAATTTGACGACTGCATGATACTGCCCATAGATGCCTCTCACCGGACAGGCACTTTAGGTCAAAATAAAAATAGATGGAAGATAAACGAAATTAACGACAGATAAATTACGGAAGGGGTCTCCTCGAGTGCTTTCTGCAGCACGGGAATATAATTATCAGATGTGTGTGCGATCCGACTATCGAACAGCCCCGATAAGAGTGTGAGCATTCGCATTTTTTTCCGCTATCAAGCTCTCTGGAGGCAAGACTGACATCGTACGTCGGCGTCGTAGACCGCGAAGCATGCGTAAAGATTCCCTTTCCTCTCTACTATTCCTCAGATATCGAGCGTGGAGAAGTCGAGCTACGTTTCGTGCGGGAGGTAAGCAGTCGGTCGGCCGAATCTAAACGTCCGAAACATGAACATTTGCATTTTTTGCTTTCCATGTACATTTCGGCCGTCGTGTCGTTGGTCACACCGGGTCGTGAGAGCAGCGGAAGAAATCCAAACTGTGTGTCCAACGAGTTTTCGCTGCGGCAAACAAATCGTCACTTTGCCAACTCTACCAAAACTGCGTTTGCCGCCACTGCCTCTCTTCTCGACGGCGCGGTGCCACCACCACCGCCACCATCGCTAATGCCGCAGACGTCATCGTCGTCATGCATTGTGGCAGGAAGACAGCGTGAGAAAAATGTTCAAATTTTTTTTTCTCCTTTTTCTCCACACCGTCGACGCTTTCTACCGTTGTTGATCTTATCCGAGTTTCTGGCTCTCCCCGGGCGGGAATCTCCCCTGCTCATCGGGGCTCGTTTCCGTGAGCAGTTGCGCCGGCCGGAAGAAACACGCGGGGAATCACTTGAGCCGGAATCACTCGAAGCGAATTCGAGTCGTTTGGCCAAACCATTGAATCCAGGCTCGTAAGTGGTTTCGTTCGCACCCCGATTTGCGAAAGAGCGCAGTTTGATTAATGACTCGCGAAGTCGTGGTCATTAAGAATGTCCGCAGCGTTCAATCGTGCAGAGTATTTTTTTTATCTTTCGAAAAAAATTCCGGAGCCAGACCATTCAATTGAGCTTGAATTCGATCAACACTCCACACTCGTCGGGAACGATACGCCAGATACCTGAAACCAGACTCCGAAGAGCTCGTCTCCTCCTACGTCGAATCAGCGACGTTCCGAATCGTTACTGTCGTAAGCGCCGTATCGGCCGTAGCGGCACCGCGAAGTCGTATCGGCTCCGGACCATCTTAATTGTCAAGAATCTGTCGCAGCGGCTACTGCTGGCTGGAGATGGCATTGCTTTACCAGATGAAGATACTGACTGACTGAATTGGTTCTGACTGTTCGGGCCTCTTTATGGAGCCAGAAGAATTGAAATCGACTCGGACCCCAACAAATAAACTGGCCGTTACGGCACACCAGGAGCTGTTTAATGGCCTGAGCGATACGGAGATGCAACGGCGAGGCGTCGGCCGCCGCACTTTCTGTCCGGATTGACTACACCGCGACAGCGGGACTTGCCTCAGGGGCAAGTTTGTCCACGGATAACTCAAACCGCTAATGGCCGCACTCGGTAAGATGAGTTGAGCCAATTGATGAGGCTTCTGAATCGCTTGTGCCATATGACAAAATAATCTACAGAAAGCTTGGATGATCCGAGCTACCGATGCACGTTTTCCGAATCATGGCAGCGCTTCCGCACCTGTCTCCGCGAACGTCTCAGCAAACGTCTCCGAAAACATGCCTTAATGGAGTCGAGATTTCCTCCAAAGCACTCACATTGTATCTCCGACGGTGCTTGAGTTTTTACAACGCTACATGCATTTTCCCCCCTGTCGTAATTTTTCAGAACGTCAGTTTCGTTTCTTTATTTTTCTACCGCTCGTCCACGCATCTTTGGTGCTTCAAGCTCTGAATTCCCAGCGATGCTTGTGCGAGCGCGTGTTCTTGTGTGGCCCTCGACAGATAAGCGAACGACCGACGAAACAATGTGCATCGGAGAAATTTGAATATTGACATTTCTCGCGTGATTCTCTCTAAATCCCCACCGATCGGACGAGCGAGCGAGCGATGAGTCGCTCATGAGTACACCGAGACAATCCCCGAGCGGCTAGATCTATCGGAGAAGACTCAAACCGACGACAACGAGGAGCATCGATTGATGACAGACGGGACCAAGGGCTTCGAGAGGCCGCCGAGCGCTCTAGAGAGGTGAGGTGCGGAATCGAGAGGGTGACGAGACGTCGGTCGACGGATCTCTGATCAGCTCTAGAATCGTAAGTCCTGCTCGGATCTGACGTCCCTTCCGGCGAGATCCTACCACATTCGGATAGTCGCTTCCTTGCCGAGTCCAAAGACTCTCATCCGGGGTTCTTCAGCCTTGTCAAATCGAACTCAATCACCTAAATTTGCCTCGACGCGAACCGCTCTCGAGCGAGGACTCCAACAAAGGGCGACCGAACTCTCCGCAGCCGCGGCGTATATTTCTGCGCTGGAGTAGCTCCGGCTCGCTATGAAAATTTATGTACGGTAGGTGTCGTCGTCGTCGTCGACGACGGCGATGATGACGACGTTGGCTTTT